AATGACTAAACAAAACCTAAACTTAATGACTAAACAAAACCTAAACTTGATGACTAAACAAAACCTAAACTTGATGACTAAACAAAACCTAAACTTGATGACTAAACAAAACCTAAACTGGATGACTAAACAAAACTTAAACTTAATGACTAAACAAAACCTAAACTTAATGACTAAACAAAACCCAAACTTGATGACTAAACAAAACCTAAACTTGATGACTAAACAAAACCTAAACTTAATGACTAAACAAAACTTAAACTTAATGACTAAACAAAACCTAAACTTAATGACTAAATAAATTACCGGAAACAAGAGTTAGTTGTCTGAGACTGATGAGTTGTAGGAAGAAGCTGAACAGTATCAGGTAAACAAAGAATAGGCCTAGGTTCTTAGTATTCTTCTGTTAATCTCGTGTCTACATCTTAAGTAACGAAACAGTGATCGTTTACCAATATATACACGTATATATATATATTATTATAATGGAGCTTGTGATGTGTACGTCCCAAACTACCGCACCAATCATAACTGGGTAATATTTTTATAGCTGAGCAATAAATAAAACAATTAAAATTTCCACAAAAATGACATGTTTCAGATTTAACCAATAAAAGTTACACACAAAGGAGTAAGTTTCAAATATAAAACAATCAAAAAACAAACTTACAAAAAGTATTTATATTTCTTTAGTGAACATCTCGTGAGTGTTGCAACAGAAAAGCAAGACACTTTCATTGATAACTGTGTCTACAAAGAAATACTTCAATAAAATCTACTCTGTGATGTAATACTGTGATGATAGCTCATTGTTAAACTACAATTTCAATAAAATCCTTTTTTCCCAAGGATGGTGAACATTATTGAATGTCAAATATGAGTACATTGTTGTAGAACTGTCAGACAATTCCAGAAAAGGTTGCCAGTCCAATAGCCTTCCACAGGAACTAGCAGTTATACCTGCTCTGGAGGGTGGGTAATTCTTCTAGTATGTATAAAGTAAGGTTGTCAGTCTGTCTGGCGTCTCGACTTCACAAGTTGAAGTTGTGATAATTGGCTGAATCGATTTCAGTTAAAGTTGTTAGATGAACTTAGGTGGACACCCCCACCCCCTTCCCAAATGTCCATTTTAAATGAACTCAAAATCGGTGGAACGGTTTATGTGTTGTCTGGTAACCATTTCAATGTATGCCGACTCCAAACGGAAGTGACGTTTAATGCCGCGCGTAGTAGATCGCCAATTTCCGGTAAACCTGCATAGCGAATGACACACACACGCGCACTCGTCCCAACATTACCGTGAAGCCAACAAAATGAATGCCGCGCAAAGCAAAGCTCGGGTACATTTGTTATCAATTTTATAAACCCAATTGTTGTTCACTCATAAAATCAAATACAGAGAGGAAAAAAAAAAAGGGGGAAGGGGGACGCTTCAAAAAATCGTACGTAAATTTAATTATATTTCTCAAATAGAATTGAAAATAACAAGAAGAAATTATTGATTAAAGAATTAATATTCTCTGTCTGATAAATATTCCAGAAACACTGATACAATCTGAAAACTGGATAATTTTGATCAAGTGTCTAGGTTTTGTTTTGATTTTTTTTTTAAATAGTTATTTGTATTTGTCTGATTACACATGTAACGCGTGTGTAAAGAATCGTTTAATGTCAGTTTTCTATGCTGTAGGAACATCAAGATGTCAAGTCCCTATCTGAACAACCTCATCATTATAGGCTGTATGTTGACGTATACCAGTGTCGTCTTGCTGGGTCTGGATAGTAGGCTTACCAGCGAGAAGAACTTTCCATACATTTGTGCTGTAAGCTCTTGGGTGTTTTTGTTTTTTTATTATTTGAATATTCCAAGATTAGACCTTAAGCAATCTTTAGTAAACTATGTTTGATGTTTGGAGTGATATTTGTACGCTTACAATATAATAACACAAAAAAAACAACAGTTTTCTCTCCGCAACGTTTTGAAACGCCTAAGAAAAAATGATAAAATTCTCAAATAGAAACGTCTTTAGTGCCGTGTAGACGACATAGCTTAAATATATAATAATATCAGTTATAAAACTACGGTGTTCTACACTTTGATAGTCTAAAGAAATGTATTTAATACTTCGCAGACGAAGTGTCGTTAGTGGATGATGTAACAAGTAACTTTAGGGTGATTGATTACTGCAAGTAGAAGAGGTGGGTTATAACTCCAGATAGACTACTGTTTTATCATAATTAACGTAGGTTATAACTCCAGATAGACTACTGTTTTATCATAATTAACCTGGGTTATAACTCCAGATAGACTACTGTTTTATCATAATTAACCTGGGTTATAACTCAAGATAGACTACTGTTTTATCATAAATAACCTGGGTTATAACTCCAGATAGACTACTGTTTTATCATAATTAACGTGGGTTATAACTCAAGATAGACTACTGTTTTATCATAATTAACGTGGGTTATAACTCCAGATAGACTACTGTTTTATCATAATTAACGTGG